AATAAACACTTCTACGAGGAAAAGCATGATCTGCATAGAGACGATTTGTGTTCATCCCACCAGCTTGCATCATAACTCTTACCTCTGGATCATGGTCATTCCTCATATCCATGTTTTCTTCATCCGAATCTGTGTCACTTTCAGAATCAGACGACCTCAGAGGATCTTCTTCTTGGTGTTCCTCACGCGTCTGTGGCATGGTCTTGAGCTCTTCCCGGCTCCTGAACCCCAGGACTAGGATCAGTGGTGGACAGAGTAGGCCTAACATTACCTAAAGGGAGAGATAACATATAAACTGATAAAGCATTGGCTGGGAAGAAATAGTCTAAGAAAAAGAAAAGGAAAATATATTTATCAATTAGAAATGGATATAAGATGGTTATGCACAAAGGTTCAAGAAAGGAAAAATATAGCTATGAAATGTATTTGCTTAGAAAAAGATACAATGGACTCAAAAATATTTAAAAACAACAAATATTTGAAGAATAGCTGCATCACACCTAAAATAATTAGAGCATGATTACTTGATGGTATGTATACTTTCACTTTCTAAACATTAAATACTATACTTTCACAACAATGCTAAAGTAAGATGTATACTACATATCTTGAACAACATGTTTATCCTTACATGACAGTTAACTGTAGCAATAATGCATCTTATGATACTATCAGTACCTCATTGAAGAAACTGTATAACTTATTGTCCTATCAAATAAGTCCTTCAAATCTCTGTAGCTTAAGAAATCCTTATCTTTACCTTGATATTAGTATTTTTTCTTGTTCTCAAACCCCCAAGCCAGAGATCTGCAAGAAGAATCTGGCAACATGGATGTGAAAGGAGAGCTCTGTGGTTGACAGCCACAGCTAAAGAAAGGCACGTTTGTTTGGACCAATTCCTTAGTTCATAAGTTAGAAGCTGCTGGGCACGGTCATCATCTTGTTGATAACAGTAGTCTAGCACATGCAGAGCTTTGGGGAAAAACATGGAAGGATAAGTAGTAATTCTTTTTATGTATTTACTTCCCATAAAGTAAAGAAATTGGAATTTCTTTTTTTGCCTGCTCTAAGCTTTGATTTCCAATCTGGTCTTGAATGTTCAAATATGAAAGGATTCCTACTCTGATGCTTCTGTAATACAACCTAGCATTCACTGCTGCCATGCATGAACAATGAGATATCTAAAATGGCTCAGTATTTAAAACAGAATTTGAATTAACTAAATCTATGATTGTAAGGAAATATTCAAATGAATGCATTTTTGTCTTTTCTTCTTGACTTTTCACTTAGCTCATTTAGCATCAAGAATACATGCAAGTATGCATTAGATATCACTAACTAGTTTCAAAAATAACTTGAATCATACTGGGATTGTGGGATTGTGATCTTACCTAGAGCCTCAAATTCTTTGGCATAACTTCTAAGTTCCTCATACACTTCTGTTTCTAAATCATCATCTGCCGCCTCATGTGCCAGAGCCTTGTACAATTTGGCAGCCACAAGAGCCTTTGCTGTGGCTTCCTCTCCATGCTGCCACATCAACATTGCCATGCCTTGTCTCTTGGTCAGGACAGCCCAAACCTATAGAAGAATATTAGTGTAAAATCTTAATACCTCCTTACCATTAAAAGAATAACCAATATACAAATATTAACTCTGGGATACAGTTTTTAATAACTTACCAGCAACTCACTGAATGGATATTCAAACTCAAAGTCTGACTGTAAATCTGTCTGGGTGTTAAAAGACTTTGGGGAAGTGGAAGATTTCTGAAGAAGGCTTTTGCTGTTGTGGAAGATGTGGCTATTTATCCGCTGAAGCCGTGGTGACCTGGCCATACTATTTTCATAACTGGTTCTAAACTTTTTCCGAGAGTAGAAAGACCTACAAATTAAATTTGTTCCATTAAATATTGAAACTAGAGTCTAAAAATGGGGTACATTTATATAATCTTTTCTAAATTTTAATCTCATCCCATGTAAATTCAATTGTGTGAAGCAGTATACCTCTTTTGGGATTTTGTTGCTGTACACTTATCGACATGCATGTTTAAAAACAAAATTCAGCAAGCATGATAACATTACTGTAAAATTTCATTTCTTTATCATCATCACATGGAACATAACTATACCTGTAAGCACCACCCATTAGCTTGTTGATAACAAGCCCAATGTCAATCAGAGTATATCTATAGTCTCTCGGTATATTCTTTTTTACATCTCTGATAATGTATCGGAGCGTGTTTGCTGGTCCCTGTTTCTGGGGAGAAATATATTTTTAAAATATATATCATAGTCTCACCACAGGGCAAATTTTACTTTTTCATAACAGGATTCCAAATGGTATGCAATACTACAGAAGATGTACATAATAAGAATACCATCACAAGTATGATATGAACAAGAGAAAGAAAAAAAAAGAAGCATATGATGCTACTTGTGAACTAAAATTAAAATAATCCTTGCTTCCTTTAAGTTTTTAACTGTTAAACATTTGCCCC